CCATTCAGTATTTGAATGAACATTATGCAAATCGCTGGATGGGTCGAAATGCTCATGATCCTCGAAAATGGCCAGCAACATCTCCGGACCTCAATCCGATGGATTTCTAATATTGGGGAGAACTACTTAAAGGGATGGTATATGGAGCTGAAATAATAAAATGGTCAACTTCGAGAACCTAGAGTAAGAAGAAACTGGGTTCGTCGTAATGAAGCTTGTGTGGAAAGTTGAGGACGACATTTTGACCACCTTCTTTAAATTCAAAAGAAGTGCAGTGTGGGTTTTAAAAAGAAAAACAATGTATGTATCAAAATCGTGTTCCCTATTTATAAGTGGATTTTTTTAATACGTTCAATAAACTTTCACACACCAGGTGAAGCGCTGACACAGTTAGTGGTAAGTCCGTTTTTTTTAATTGTTTGCATTTTACGAGTACATTATCAAATAATGAAATAATACCTAAGAGCAAAAAAAAACAAACTTCATTTTTATTTACACTTCGTTCCGTCGTAATTTGCGTCTGGTATTGCGGCGTTGTCAGATTTTATTTTACTTTGAAGTCGCTTTTCTCTAAAGAAATGCCGTTTTGACCTCCATGTTATATGAAACTTTTTACTTCTTTTAACCCCTTCTATCACCCTGTATATTAAAAAATCTATACAAGACGAAAGATCGCATAAAACACAGAGTTATAGTTTCTAAATCGAGAAAACATTACATATTATTTGTTCGTGGACAATTTAAAAAGGCAGTTATCAACATACCTCTGACTATTCAAAGCTTCACCCCTCACTCTTCCCACAAAAGGTTGGGGTACAGCTCTGTTAGAAATTGCGCTCCAGACAAGGATTTTATCTGCAAATTTATGAGTATGTTTATATTTAACATTGTTAAGGCATTCGTCTACGTTGACCGCATAAAATCTGTCTTTTCCCTTCATTTCAGAAATACTTTTCGTCATCTAAAATAACGATTTTTCCATAGGCAAAGTATATCCGCCTCTGTTGACACCATCATCTTGGTGTACGATTTTTAGCTCTTCTCACCAATCCCTATGACCTCTGTGCAGTAACTGCACGTAGTCTTTCACTTTTTGGGAGATCCAGAAAAGCAACTTGATATTGTTTTGTGTTTGTTAAAATTAAAGTCAATGAATTTTGTGCCAAAACTTTTAGGACATACGTTACTATAGGAGTGAAATATTCACAAACAATTTCAGAGCTGTTAAAATTATCCTCAGTCATTTCTATACGAACCATGAAGCAAAAAGGGATATGCGACGTTGACGACATTCAACAAACATATCAATATAATCATCACACTTACACTACTGTGTATGTGTATCACAGCCCGCCAACCCGCCTTGCCAGAGCCACCCCCGAAGTGCGCAATCAGTGTTACTCATCACCATTTCTATTCATGAGGCTCGCACGTACACATCCGATACTGATCACCCCGTTTGTTCTGCAGCTTCGTATCTCAGTTTAATCTGGATGTTAATGTGGATCTGGATCGGGGGTGGCATTGCGAGGAGAATTTGCACTTTTAAATTTGAGTCTGTGAGCCGTGTGAGGGGTCAGGGGTGGCATCTGGCCCGGGGCGCCTGCATTCGAGGGTAATTCATTAGGACTTTAATGGAATTTGTTAGTAGATCAGGGATGGGGGAGCCATGCATGTATCGACGGATGATGCAAATTAAAAATCGGAAGCTTAGATTTTTTAGTTGTTTCAATTTTTGCTTCCCACGGCATGAGCATGGGCGGTAGTGCGATCAGAAAGACTTTCGAGTTCACAATAATACCTCTGGAACTTTCTTATACCACCTACTAAAGAACCTCAATATTTTACGTACATATCCTTAATGATATGCGAATATTTAAGGGCATGAAAAATTAATGTTAGTTTGCTTTAAAAACTATGGTCCAAAAATGTTTCCTTACAAAAAACTCGGAGTGTTGGTTTTAGTAAAAAAATGGAAATTAATTAATATTCTCAGAACCGCTTCAAATATTTCACTGATATTTAGTACGTAGTGAAACTTAATAGAGTTGCATATTTTTCAACTCCAAAATTGGTGTTTGAAATGGGTTTCGGTTACGGCATAGGGATTTGCTTCTGCCCACAAATGATTATTGTGGAAATTCTGAATGGTATTTCGAAAAAAATTAGCTTCGTCCGTGAACAGAATCATTGATTCAAGTTGCGGATTTTGTGTAATTTTTTGAAGATATCACTGACAAAAGGTCACACGCCTTGGAAAATCAATGGGAAGTAATGCCTATACTCTTAAAATATGGTAAGGATATAACAAAAAATCCACTAAAATTCTCCAAACAATTTGATGGCAAATATTTAAGTGTCTAGCGATCTTCCTCGTACTCGTTTCAGGATGTTCTTCGACTTCGTGCAGCACTGCTTCCTCAATTTCAGGTGTTCTCACACTTAGAGGTCTACCTTCAGATGTTCCTTTTCGGACAGAACCAGTTTCAACAAGACGACGATGAATATTAGAAAAAGTTCGACGATCTGGTAAAGCACTGGTGATAAATCCGTCTGGCTTGCTCACCATTACCGTCGGCAAGGCCATATACGTAATGCATTTCCGCCATTTCTGCATTTGAATAATTCACCATTATTAACAAGATTGTAAAAACTAAATAATGAGAAGGATGTCACAGAGGACAGATTTGAATAACAGAGACTTGACAGATGTCAAAAGCCAGTGACATATTCCAGAGCAACTAGATATTGATTGCTAAATTGCATTCTTCAATTATTACATTAATTTTCTCGGGCAATAGAACAGTTTTTATTTTTTACTCAAAAATGGCGCATCGAAGGAAAACAATTCAAGAGAGATCGTTTGTTTTAAATTGAACGGGGAATTCAAAAATAATTTTTAGTTGGCAAAAAACCATTGGCGTATTATTTTTTGCTTAAAAAATATCGAAGTCAATACCTGTACGCACGCTACTGTTAAAGCTAAGAATTATTTTTGCATTGTAAAATATGCAGCTTTCATAACTTTCATTAGGTACGAAATATCAGTGAAATACCTGAGGCAGTTCTGAAAATATTAATTAATTTCCATTTTTTTGCTAAAACTTCAACACCCCGAGTTTTTGTAAGGAAACATTTTTGGATCATAGTTTATAAAGCAAACTAACATTAATTTTTCATGTAGATCCACACCCGTAAATATTCGCATATCATTAATGAATGTATAGTAATTTTTGTGAATGAGCAGACAAAAGATGAAGATAAAAAGGTATTTCGAGCTGCGTCTACAACTTTTCGTCCCTCAGATCATTTTTTATCAGCATCTAAGAGTTTTTTGGAAGAATTATGAACCTACATCTTGTACAACAATATATGATCTTTGAGTTGTCGTCAACAATCATTTAGCAGGTCAGATTGATGAGAATGCCACAAATTATTTGTTAGTTACCGAAAACTGAAAAGGTCCTGAGTTTTTCGGTTTAATTTGATTTGATCGACGTTTGTCTCTACATTTTCTACAAGAGTTGAACATTCCTGATGATTTAGGAAAATATTTCAGACAATGTGATGTTTCAAAATACGCCTTACATTAAAAAAAACAATTAGAGAAACTTTGTCGAGTCTAAAATTAAAAAGTATTGTATATTTTGAACTGTAATTTAGCTTTTAGTGCTTCCAAAACCGGGACATAATATAAGTTTTATATGTTTATAATAAAGACAGCACAACTGGAAGATGAAGTGACGAAAGTAAGCGTGTAATATTGACTAAAACTGGAGCTCATAAAATTTTGATATATCCTGTGTTTACAAAAATACAGGAAGAATGTGCTTAAATTGACGAAATATGCATGTTATATGTGCTTGAAGGATGTCACATGAGTACACCCTTCTAAGTTAAATACCACTACTCTGAAAACAACGAATTCATGATATGAGAAGTATAGTTTTTTTTTCAGAAAATTGCAGATGTTGATTGAAGTTTCCAAAAAATGAAATGCATAAAGTGTAATATTTTTTCTAAACAATACACACAGTAGGCTTAAATAATGTTATTAACAAATAAAACCATGTTCTTCCAGGTTTTTGACCTTGCTCATCAAAATCCAATTATTACAGCTGCCGAACGATTAACATTTATTGTTTGTTGAATTTATTGTAATATTACAGTATAATGCATCTTTTTCCAGGATGGTCTTAATGTCACATTGTTTTTATCTAGTTCTAAATGCAACAATGATTTGGTATGTAATACTGTAGCGATCACTTACTCGGAAAGAAACTACAAAGTATGGAATTTTGATGTGAGCAATCCAGTGATACCGGAATATCCGTCCTATTATCAACTTTTTAAAGATTTTCAAAATTGCACCAAATCCTACGCCTAATTTCCAGTACTCGATATTTGCAGTATCTTCATGGAACACTCGGATTAGAAGTACAAGTACGTATCCTCCACCCATTGAATGAGATAGGTAATCCAACCGCAGCCATTACAAATCCATTATTGTCCAAGTCGGATTATTTAACGCGTCATGACAAACCCGTTTTCAGGATTTACTTGTCACCACTCGAAGATAAATTTTTCTCCTAATTAAGATTCGCAAATTAAAAAACTTCACGGAATTTTATCACCGAAGTTTTTCCTAGTTACGGTCGTCGGATAAACCGCATGGCGCTAAAATGACGTTTCCGGGACATTTAACGAAGCGTTGTTTCCACGCCGTTGGAAAGCCTCCTGAAGCTTGTTAGGAAACTTTGCGGAGAGAAACAGTGATTACTCGAGGCCGCGAAACATACCACCTGGGCCAAAAGGCAATTCCTTTGGAAACATTTTGAGATCACTCTAGAAAATGTCATTTTTAAAGCAATTTAGGTTACTAAAGCTTTTTGGAAATGTCCCAGTATTAGAAAATCTACTTTTCCATTTTAAAGGCTCGTGTTTCATCTTTAATTAGTCAGACTTCTGGCTGAATTTGAGATGGTCAGGAATATGTTAACTTTGAGGACATGCGTAAACTGCGGCTTATACCATATAGTCTAATCGTATTAGACGAAAATACCCCCCTGGCTTACGAAATAATTGTAAAGTCTGGGTTTATTGCTGCAAGTTATTCAAACGGGTATTAGAAACCTGGACGCATAAAATGGGTACACGAATATTTGTGGGAAATCTTTTTTTTCGATAACAAAAATGTTTTTTGAGATTCAATAGAAAGTGTTGGCAGGAACGCAAAAACTCTTTATATAAGATTTTTAGGTATTTATGAAACCTACAAAATGAGACCACACGTAAAAAGGTTCAACTAATAGCAAAAAAGTCATGGCCGCAAACCGAGGAAAACTGCAGGTCTTGGCACTTGTTGGTAATGCAACGATGGTTTCTCTCAGATACTTGAAATTCTTCAAATTCGTAGGATTTGTACTTCTAAATAACCACAACAAAATTGGAGTAGATTGGTCAAGTAGTTTTTGAGAAGTTCCGATTGTTTATCCCCAAAACACCTGTTTTCCAGCAATTACTACTAGTTTATTGAGCAATATACAGGGTTAGATCAAAGGGCATTTTATAGCTAAATACACTAGTTTAAATTGCCGATATGAATTGCAAACCATTCCGGATAATAAATGTTATTTTTATACAAAAAAAGGATGGGTTACGTTTTTTCTTCTAAACAAATTCAAACATTTCGTATTTGTGAGTAATTCGCAAAATAAGATGCGAGACGCTTTACTTTAAAATGTGTATACTAACGTATGTTTTTCGAATATCGCACAGTGGGGCGGAATCCTAAAAAGCTGGACAAAAATCAAATTTTTGAGTTGTATATATTCTTCTATATACGTTTAGATCTTGTTTACGGATAGTCATAGAATGAAATTCCGGACAGAGCAGGTATATTCTTGCTCTAGGGTCGCCTTGACATCAGTCGACATTCAGCCGTCGTTCGGTATGCACTAAGCAAGTGTACACGTCGAAAAATTCTGGCCTGTTTCGAAGTTCTGTTAAACAGACGAAACTATCTCAATTTGAATTGTGCAAAATGGAATCACTTTCTGAAGGTATGCAGAATATATAGTTATGCACAGTTGTTGCTTATTTTATGTTTGAAATATTTAAATTTTACAACAAATAAACATAAACAGTTATACATTTTTTTTCTAAAATCGATTTTTCTAATAAAGTAGTTTTAAAAATATCTTCGCGAGTCTCGATCTTGTTTCGGCAAGGAAGTGATAGTGTATGGTATGAAATATAATATAGTAAAAATGTGGCTGCTCAGGAGTGCTCAACGAATAGGTAGACTAATTTTTAGTGAGAAATACGTGGCGCGGCATTAATGGACGTGTGACTGTAATGCATTGATTATTACGTTATAGTACGTTGGTATATTTTCTGTTTAAAAACATTTATTAATGTGATTCTAAATGTGCGGTTTACAAATTACTTCACGTATTATTTTATGATAACCTCAACATTTTATAAAATATTCCTCCAAGAAATTTCAGTAGTTAGAACTGTATTTCCCACATGTTCGTAAGAGGTCACCCTTCGACAGCACTGTAGGTTCTGAAGTCACCAAACAAGAGAGAAGGATTCCGATTTAGGTACAAGTGTGTCAACATCAGAATCCGAATCGAATGATTCGAACATTGAAGATGACGTACAAGATTTTTGTTACTAGAAGTAAATAACAGATATTCATTTTGTTGCAAATTTTTTATAAAAGAAACTTTTGGTAAATAAAAAACATTGCTTGAAAGATTTTTTACTCATGAAAACCTAAAAATATTATAAAATATTTTCCATAAAAATATTAAAGAATTAAAAAAATTTGCAGAATCCTCCATATATCGCGTCTGCTATGTTGAATATTAACATTCTGATAACCAATTCGTAATCAGCGATTCCAAAAACCATGAACAAATACAATTTGGTACCTTTACTGGATTATTTGACTAAATGGTTAAATTATGTCCGCTATTTTGGATCCGCCATTTTGAAAATCGTAATTATGATAACAGATTCATATTCAGCGACCCCAAAAACCCCCGAGAAGAGAATTTGAGATCATTTACGACACTCTCTGAATTTTGGCCACCTTATTGGGATTCTGTCTATCGTAGCGCATTTGTTCAATTACTCACAAATACGAAATGTTTGAATTTGTCTAGAAGAAAAAAAACGTAACCTTAGTTTTTCGCATGAAATAACATTTATCTTTCGGAATGATTTGTGATTCATAGCAGCAACGTAAACACGTGTATTTTGATATTAAATGCTTTTTGAACAAAGCCTGTATATTGCTCAACAAAATAGTAGTGATGGCCGAAAAACAGGTGTTTTGGGATAAGCAATTAGATATTCCCAAAAAAAACTACTTGACCAATATACTCAAATTTTGTTGCAGTTATTTAGAAGTACGAATCCTATGAATTTGAAGAAGTTCAAGTATCTGCGAGAAACCCTTGTTGCATTACCAACAAGAGCCAAGACCTGCAGTTTGCCTCGGTTTTGGGCCATAGCATTTTTGCTATTAGTCGGATCTCTTGACGTGTGGTGTCATTTTGTAGGTCTCATAAATACCTAAACATCTTATATAAGAAGCTTTTCGTTTCTGTAAGTTCTTTCGATTGAATCCCAAAAAACACGTTTTCTCATTATTTGTTGCTAAATAAAAAGTTTTCCCACAAAAATTGGTGTACCCATTTTATGCAGCCACGTTTTGAATACTCCCCAATAAAACCTTAAAATTATTTCAGGGAAATTTGCTAATATGATTAGACTAATAGGTTTGTAACTTAACATGGTAATGCATCTAGAAAAAGTGTTTTCTGATGGTCCCTTTTAAGTCGCACAGAGCTCAAACACCGTTCAAACTCAGTCGATTGTATGGCGTCCGGGACGAGCATTCCCATTCCATACAAAATAGTAAGTGCTTTTAGAATGTAAAGTGAGTTGAACTAATACTTTGGGGGTTGTTATTTCTATTTTCACTAGAAACATAAAGAACGTATTTTTCAAATTAATTGATCCATTCCTAATATTTACTATAGTAGTAATAGTAGTAGGGATAAAAATCTATGCCCAGTTCCATTGATTAATGTATTCGACTTGAAGACAGCAAACCATGTACTGTATTTTGGCATCCTAAAAATCATCAATAATACAATGAGATACATTAGCGTTATCTATGAGAACCTGTCACAGCTATGTCTCCCCTTTCCGCAAAAATTAGAAATCTGCTTTGAAGAGGTTAGCCGTTCATAGATATCGTTGTATCCAGCTATATGACATGTATGAACCGAGCCTATTATTGTAGAAAGTAGATTTCAAATTATTGCGCCAAATTCTTGTATATAGTGTATCTCATTTTGTCTCGGGTAATTTTTTAAAAGCCGGTTGGATATCTGCGTGTACTTTATGTGAATCAATGTCGGCTATAAATTCTCAAGATCCATTCAGAGTGCCTTAACATTTATGGCAGTCTAGCGAAATCACCTGCGGCACTTATTTTTTGTCCCAACTTCCTTCTATTCCGCCTGCGCGCATCCTTAAAAGCGGTTGTTTCACGACCTGGGCTTTATTAAAGGGCTAATTTATGTTAATTGAGTAATTAAAAGCAGGGAGACGAAATTGAATTAAAAATAAATTGACGGGATTTTCCTCAGTTAATTGAAAGTAACTTCGCTCCGCCGAAGTGTACATATTACGAATAGTCGGTTCACTAGCGGAAAAACTTCTTTTTTCGGACTTCTTGAGTGGTGCTAGCAACCTTAGACGAAATCAGACATTTTTCTTAGCGATAGATCGACTTGGTTAAGCGGTTGCTGATAGAGTCCGGCAGTTTTTCTGCATCTTAAAAAGTTACTTACTGGGGTCGCTGGTATAGTCTGCGACATCCCTATAGAGTTCAAAAAGTTACTCAGAGTGGAAAAGACAGAATAGGAATTATGATTCAAATATTGGTTTGTTATATTTATTCACAGTCTACATTGTTACAGAAAGCCACCTTTAACCTAATTTTGTACTACTAGTATTGATTAATAAAAAAATGAGAGTAACATTCTGCAAATTTAATATATCGAAACGCAACTCTATTAGCGTGACGTCACAATTGGTTGATGCTGAATCCGCCACTTAGCGGTCTAATTTCAATTGGTCACGCCTTTTGTCAAACGTTTGACAACGAATATGTTGTCCCGAGAATATCGAAAGACTTAGAAAAAATAACAAAAGACTGCTTATTTACTTTCAAAACTTGACAGCAAATTAACCAAACATAAAATAACAAATCCTTAGTTCTGACGACTCCGCGAAAAGCGTGAAAAATGTATGGTTTTAATCAACGTCATTGGCATTGTACTTTTACATGTTTAATTAAAAAAAAATACAGACATTTCCATGTTTAAACTACATATTTACAGTATTATATTAACACACAGAAAACACAAGAAAGAAGGTCACCGGTATAGCAGTAATAGTATTTTTGTGTTTCATGCATCAATAAAACACACAAGACAAAATAAAATCTACAGAAAAATCGGTAGATTTGGTAACACTCGTAAGGAGGTAGAAAAAATCTCAACAAATACAGCAGCTCTGTCATATACTATACCTAGATTGTTAAGCACAGTTGTACAATGTGTAATAACTGCCTATTCACATGCCTCGCATAGGTAAACAAACTGGTTTTACAGCCAAGTGACCCTACCGTTTGTATTCCGTATACTTTTGGTTCCGACAATACCACCGCCGCCAATGCGCCCTGCACTTTCAGAAAGATAATAGAAAAGTTTCCATGGGATTGTCTTGTGTTCCAGTGGGCTTTCCTAGACCCGACCATTGTGTAACAGTGGAAAGAAATCTGTTAGCGTTCCGGGAGTTGAATAAACGGATTTGTCCGACCGAGATAGGAGTTTTTGGGGTTTTAAGATAATATCGCCTTTGGAGAATCGGCAAGGACTTTTATTGTGGAACTTTCTAAACGAAATTTGAATGGTGTCTCCA